GTTACCTCACAATATCACTTGTATGTCGCTAAAGCTGTATTAATTTAGTGAATTAGTTGTTAATTTTGAAAACTGCCTAATATCCCTGCTATAAATCAAACAACTAGTTAAGTAAAGTATTTTAACAAGAAAATACATTACTTTTTTCTGTACATACAAGGCATTCATTCCCTTCTCGTCCTAGAAGAAATGGTATTGATGATATTGAAAGTGTTAGAAAGACAACAATCTTACATCCAAAACTTGTTCCGTTTATTATAAGTGGAAATTATTATTTAAGAGCATTTGAAAAGTATAAAATAAGTAAACAATAATTCATAATGGGAAATTATATTTTCTAAATTTATATATTATGTGTATTGTTTGTTTTGTTGTAAATTGTTAATTATGATAATTTATGACAGTAAATAATTAAAATGAAGCAATGGTAGTGGTGGTTGGGTGTGGCAGAATAAACACTAATGTAGAATAAACGCAATAGAAATGCGGTCAAGGAGTATGTTAGGGCTGAATCTGAGTGACAGGGTGAGAAATTGTATGATAAGAGTGTGATTTGCAAGATGATGTGACCAGGATTAAGAAAGGAATGCTTCGGTGGTATGCTCATGTACAAAAAATGAATGAAGAACAAGTGACAAAGCAAATTTATGTTGCAGAAGTGAACGGCAGAGTTGGAAAGTGACGTTCTAGGCGAAAGAATATCGACGAAAATGGCAATATATTGAAAATGGTGAAAATTAAGGGTACCCTTAACCGACGAGCATTTATGTGTAGTAAAATGATGTGGAGGAGGCGAATGAGGTGTGTCAGGATCGTGCCAAATGGAAGTCTGTAGTCCTTGCCCACCCCTCTGAGTGACAGGTGTGTGTTTATGTTGTGTTAAGTTATGTTGTTAAAATTACGTTAACTATATAATTATATTTTTAATTCTTATAAAATTATACATTTATTATATTCATATTTCCTTTACGTGTGAAACCCGCCAATAAACCTCTCAAAGATGAGAAGAGACCTCTGTCCAGCAGTGGGATGCTTTAGATCATACTTGAGATATCTAAACAGTCCTCTTCAAACCTTTGCGCCGCCTAACTATTTAAAACATTTCTTCTACCAAACAACCACTTTAAAACTAATTAAAAATAAAGGCTGTAACTCTTTGTTAACAATACTTCATTTCATTCATAAAATATATTTTCTACGTAGGGTCATATTTAGGTTTTTATTCATGCACTATTTTCTCACTAAAGTCCTTAATAATACAATAATTAGCTCCATAATAATCATCACTCATAGAAAAAAACTTAAGTTCTTAAAATGCATAATTTGAAGCTCATTTCGTCATTATTTTAATTGTAATGCACTATTACGGCGTAGAATAATAGACGCAAGAGCTAAACATGTCATTATTTTATCGCAAACAATAAGATAATTGCAGAAAACAAACGATTAACATGAAAACAATTCCTAAAACGTTACTGTTTTGCTATTGCCTTCATTCTAATTCCAACGCAATATCATCACAATAAGCTGCTGTCAACTGACTGTCAAAAGTGCGTCGGGAGTACCGATTTTGCTTGGACAATTTCAATTCCAATATCGATTAGTTCACACAATCACCACGCAATACTAAACTAATTTAGCGCTAGAGTCGCTTTCAAGAGTACCAAACATTATAATTTCAATCCCGATCGATCGGAATTGTTTTCAAGAGTAAGCCATCAGGACTGTGGAATATTCCGCCGATGATCACAATGGCTTCAACGCGGTGGTGCACAACTCTGCCCCCACCGCTGCTCCAGCTGTCATCAAGACTCCTGTCTATGCCGCTCACGCTCCCGCTCTCTATTACAAACATTAAATGGAACTGACTACAATGTTAACGCGTTTTAATTCATTTGTTGTTTATTATAATAAACGAATAATTTATTATGTCTGTAATTTTTATTACCTTTCTGCTATATTTCGCTAATTACTTACATTCAGCATGTTGAACGACAATATAAGTTCATTAATTATTTATCTAAACTGAAAAGTATTTTTTTGTATTTTACACTGAGCAGTATAAAACTCGGGAACAATGGTTGAGATTAAGGATAATTTTCCCAACTTACCTTAATCTTAACCACTGTTATTATATCAAAGAGGTTAATTTAATTTTAATAAAATTGTTGATCGTATCTTACGATTTATTTTGGTCGTCCCCATCGAAGAGCTCATAGTTTTATTAAAATTTATAATCCAATTGTTTAGGTGATCGTATTGATAATGTAAAAATAGTAACGGAAAATACTACAACTACTTTTATTTTCTCAAAATTACGAATTAAAAATGTTGAAGGGATTTATATCAATACATTATCATTACACACATACACAAGTACTGATAATAGCTGAATATAGGCCTCCCACAAGACTTAACTTAGTGGCTCAGGTTGCTCATGACCATGCATTGTGGGATACAACGGAGCACTGTAATAAGTCACCTGCATCCATTGACTTACTGCATATTTTACCAGGTCGTCATTCCATCTAGTGAGGGGGGTAGGCATCCTACACTTCGTTTATTGGTACGAAGTTGTCACTCCAGAACCTATCTTCCCCATCGGCTGTCGGTTCTTCAAGCTATATGGCCACTCCACTGCCACTTCAGCTTAGTAATCCGTTGGGCTGCGTCGGTTAATCTAATTCTACTCTGGATATCGTCGTTTCTGATTCTATCACGCCGCCCCGAGAATAGCCCTCTTCATAGCTTGGTAAGCGACCTTGACTTCGTTTTTATAGTACTTTCTTAAATCCTTAAATGAAATTTTCTCAAATAAATTGTACCTTTATTAATTAAAAACGATTTTAGAATAATACAAGCTGATACAGATAAATACAAGCCCATCTGCGTAGTCACTCTAATCTCAGATTGCTATGTGCCGTTAAAGACGACTATTAGTGATTGTCAGAAAAATTCGAAAAGATGATGGTATATCTTCATCTCTTTCAAGGAGTTAAAAATACACTTCTATTTGAATTAAGATAATAAAGACCTTAAGTGTCATAAAAAGCTTTCGCACTCTTGTGAAATGAACAAATCTTTTACTAAGCTAAGTAAAAATATATGGTATATATTAGCTCAATCTATACACACAAAAAATATGCAGGTGTCTTTTTTGACAAAAATGATAATTATAAACTAGCCAATAAAATATTAAGCCAATTAACCTAATACGGCTTAATATCATGGCTTTGATTTATAAAAAGGGCCGTAGTTGGTCAGGGGCAAAGCGATCACCGTAAGTTTCATAGTACGTGAGCAGCCCGGCTTCGATCCCAGCCATAAAAAAAAATTAAAAATATATCTAAGACATGTGAAGTCCGTCAACACCCATGGAACTGCGCGTCAGACACTTTCTTGCCCTAAAACCTTCTCGGAAATGATAGTAAGCCTTTTTCCAGCTGTGGGATGTATACTCGTATTAACCGCAACTTTGATAACCAAACGATGACAATGATGACTTGATGTAAAAAAAAATCTCACTTTCTCCAAGTTTAAAAACTTATTAAACAAAATTTGTATAAAAAAGCTTATTATAATATTAAGGAGTCTTTGGATGATAATAACCCTTGGGAATGAAGAGATCAAAACCAAGCTATTTCTAATTGGTTGGAGTATGTGTTGTTAATTATTGCGTAACTTTGATGACTGTAAACTATGCTCTTTTTTTCAAAAAAAGTCACGCTGGGTTCCTTCCTGGATTTTCTCATGACAGAGGTATTTTCCGGAACTGTGGTGAAATAAACATAAGAGTGAGTTTCAATAAGTATTATTTTAATCTACATTAAATAAAAAAGTTTATATTTCTATTTGGTCGCAATATCCAAAGCGCGATATTATTAGATTAAACGTGATAAAATTCGTAAGTATAGTTTTATTAAAAATTTTCATTTCTCGCAAAACTTCCTTATGGAATTGTCTAACACCAGCGATTTTTGTGGACCATTACGTTACAGGGATCTTCAAGAAAAGAGCCTACTCTTTTACAAAAGGCTGGTAATGCACCTGCATTCCCCTGATGCTGCAATTGTTGCCCACATGCTCGTTTGCCCCCTCTTATAAATAAATAGTTCACCTGTGGTCAAGCTGACTGCGGCCACTCCCGATAACCGCGTCGACCTTGGCCCTGTAGTTATCATGCCGCGCACACCTGTAACTTACCATGCTACAGATTCTCGCCCACCATAAGAAGGTGACCGTTAGATGAAAGTAAAAGCACAGAATAAATAATGGTATCACAAAAAGCCTTTTTGCGTCTCATTGCTGGGTATTGGCCTCGCTTAAAATTTGCGATTAACTAATTCAGTGATGTGGACGCGATTAGATCTTCGAATAATCGTAACAAGATCTGCGCGATAGTCTGAAGTTGTATTAAAATTAATTCAATCCAAATGATATATTTTTAACTAAAATACAGAATATTCCAATACTGCTATTATCATTTAGTTTTTTTTTTATTATTTTATTTTACAATATATTAAAATAAAAGGTCATTGTAGGTACGGACAAACAGTTAGTTAACAATAATAGTTATGGTTTTGTTTTTACGAGTGATTTTTACGATTATGGCCGTAAATATTTCAATTATGTTTTATTTTGCTATGTTTTTTTTTACAAAATTTATCTCTAACACAACTTTTTAAACTTGACGTCACCATGTGTATCGTAAATGCCCCTTAGTAATTTTTGTGAATGGTTTCGTTTATGAAGTAACGTAATATACTACTAATAAAGCTGAGCGTGTTTGACAAGTTCCACTACCATTCGTGTTACTAGTAAGTGTATTTGACTAGTATAAAAGAAGATTATCGAAAATATAGTCACCATTATCTTTTTGGCGGCTCATAAAGAACTATTCTAATCTAAATATGCTCCGCTGTGTACGTTCAAGTAGATTATTTTAATTTATTTTTTATCTGTATTTTCTTCTTTGTTGCTTTAAATATGTTTGGTTTTAGGTGGCCATTTTATGCGCTGTAGCTGCAGTGTCGAATGCTGGACTTCTGCCTGCAGCTGTGCACTACTCACCTGCTGAAGCTGTCTCCTCTCAAAGTATCGTGCGTCATGATCAAACACGAGCAGTTGCCACGAAATTTGTAGCCTCCGCACCTGTGGCCAAGGTAGCCGTCGCCGCCCCCGCCTCTTATTACAACGCTGCCCCTGCCACTTATTACAACGCTGCCCCAGCTGCCGTAACTTACCACGCCGCACCAGCGCGCGCAACTTACCACTCCGTCCCATCTGCCGTCACATACCATGCTGCGTCCGCCCCTGTTTCATACCACACCAGCCCTGTCCAATACGCTGCGCCTGTTGCTAAAGTTCTTACCCAGCGTGGAGAGGAAAATGTAAGTTTAAAGTTGGTTATAATATTAATATTAATATATATATATATTATATATATAAACTAACAAGCATTCTAATTGTAATTTGGTGCTGTAATTTATAGGCACATGCCAACTAATTTTAAAAAGTCCACTGATGTATATCATAATGATATTGATTAATTTGCAACCTTCCGCTAACTAACTAAAAGTGTCTTACCTGGATTGAAGAGCACCTCCCGCCCTCCCTCAATTGCTTGCACTAATTCCGGCACTACTAATCCCAGCACCACTACTACCAACACCACTACTCCCGGCACCACTACTTCCAACACCACTATTCCAGGAAAGACACACCATCGACGATAATACGACACGTGTTTTGCCTCTACACGAGGCATCCTCAGGTGATACAGACTCTACGGCGGCTGACCGCTAAGAAGTATTTTCTATCCTTAGGATCGACTCATTTACCTTTCAATCAGAAACTCAGTAATCAGTTCACTCCTAGCTTTGCAACGATTGACGATGGATAGGTGATGATATAACGATTGATTTTTCTGTGCAGGCCTACCCAAAATACGATTTCTCATACTCTGTCGCTGACGGTCACACCGGTGACAACAAGTCCCAACAAGAGTCCCGAGATGGTGATGTGGTGAAGGGATCGTACTCGTTCCACGAGGCTGACGGCTCCGTCAGGACTGTGGAATACTCCGCCGATGATCACAATGGCTTCAACGCGGTGGTGCACAACTCTCCCCCCACCGCTGCTCCAGCTGTCATCAAGACTCCCGTCTATGCTGCTCCTGCTCCCGCCCTCTATTACAAACATTAAACGAAACTGACAACTGCGCTAACGTAAACTTAACTTATTTATTGTTAATTATATTTATAATAGACGAATTATTAATTACATCTGTAGTATTTATTATCCCTGCTTTCATGTACTTATTATTTATATTTAGCACCTTGGATGATCAAATAAATCTATAAAATATTTTAGACTAAAATGTAAAGTTATTTAATTTTTATACGAAAGGGGGTAAACGAACATACGGCTTACCTCTTGGTAAGAGACCACCGCCACATATGAACAACTGGAACACCAGAACAATTGCAGCATTACAGTAAACACATGCCAAATAATATACTTGGCTCTTTGCAAAATTAAAAACTGCAATGTTTGAGTTTAAGAAGAAATTTTTGTACTACTACTTACCTTATGGGAGATCCATTGATTAAGGTCGTGAGAAGACTTTTTCTTGGCTGTATTTTCCATGAGAATGTGTCTCAAAATTGAGTTAAAATTTCTGTCTTTTAATTTTTCCTAAATGGCTGATCATAGTGTATACAAAAACAGAAATACATCCGTAAAATTAGGATAATGTTGTAATTAATGTGGGCGTACTTTGTTTATCGTATTTATAAATGTGTATCGATTCAGTAATAAATAAAAATCAATTGGATTGACCTTAAAATGTATTGATAAATTATTAAAGGCAAATACGTTGAGTCGTCTCTAACAAAACTTATGATGTATTCGCTGCAACCTAAGTTAAGGATCTTTACAATCAAAATTTCTATTAATCAACATTAAGGATTCACATATTATGTAATAACTAAAAAGTGCCAGTTCTATTTTATAATATATAAGCCGCGCTGGAATGTTATATTATTTAAAACAACACTTCTTTACTTTTAAACACTATTCATTTTTAACAGTTCTTAAATAGCTGACAAGAATAACATATCGAATGCCTTGTTTAAAAAGCGTCTAATAAATGAAATAGCGACGAAAAATCTATTTGCACTATTATCAAAATTTATCGACAAAAAATGAATCTTTTGTAATATAACTTTTTATTTGTAAAAGAGTTGGGCAGATTCACAAATTATGTAATAACTAAAAATTGCCAGTTCTATTTTATAATATATAAGCCGCGCTGAAATTTTATATTATTTAAAACAACACTTCTTTACTTTTAAACACTATTCATTTTTAACAGTTCTTAAATAGCTGACAAGAATAACATATCGAATGCCTTGTTTAAAAAGCACCTAATAAATGAAATAGCGACGAAAAATCTATTTGCACTATTATCAAAATTTATCGACAAAAAATGAATCTTTTGAAATATAACATTTTATTTGTAAAAGAGATGGGCAGTGTCTTTCTAATAATAATTATAAAATGAACACTGCTTTTGATAACTCACCTGCCACGCGTGGATACTACAGATAACTGCAAATATACGAGTGTTCGCCACAGCATCCACACGTTTGCCATAATATTCCCTTTATGCGGCAATTTAAAGGAAGGTCTGTGTTTAGCAATGAACTTTGATAGACTGTAGTGATTCAAGATTTTTATTAATTTCGTGATGATTTAGAAAATTTAATATAATAAATATTCAAGATTAATTATAAATATTCAAGACAGGTGCACCTAATTCTATAAATCCAAAATTTATCTAATATTGAAATCAAATCCGAAATATTCTTAGTAAATTTTCTACAATTCTTAATAAACTTTGATACCTGTGATTTAATTTTAATAAGGAAGCAATAAAAACTACTTAAGTGCTTAATATATAATAAACATAGATGTTATAATATAACAGTAAATGACAGTCACATAAAGGTAAACGGCGTGTGCCCCCTCCCTCCTCCTATATGGATCAGTAAGACCTGATAAGACATGCAAGAAGTCGATGGATGCGGTTGGCTTAGAACCGCGTATGTGTGGCATTGCTTGGCCTTTTAAGGTCAATGTTTAGCAATGAATTTGTGAAGGGCTGTAATGATGATAATATTGATGAAACAGATAACATATCAGAAAAGAGTGTTTAATCAATACCTGTCGTAATCTTATCAAAATTCAGATTTCATTTTACCAAAATAAAATTATAAAATCCTTTATTTATAATTAGACTAAACTAAATGTTAGTAAACGTTGTGTTGAAGCTCAGCTTGAATTAAATCAATTTAAATTAGTGTGCCTTCTACTTGACCAATTTGGAGCACCCGGCCAGGGCTGCATCACAAGCATATCTTCCTGTAACACTTAATAGCTTTCAAAATGCTACGACTTTCTGCATGGATTGACATTGCTAGTTTAAAGGCTGACTCTATTGATTCATGAAGTTACACACAACGTTACAAAAAGTAATAAAGATACAGCTGTAAACTGTATGTTGTATGTTGTATTGTAGCTTAACTCAAAATCTGTCGATCTAGTATAAAAATAAAAAGGGTGAACGGGGTTGTTTTTAAAGTAATTTACAATAATTTGCCGATTAGCATAGTTTTTTGATACTTATTTGAAGTTAAATTTTTTTTCTTCAAAGTTACAAGTATGTCAACAAAAATTTTGATAATGTAAACGATAAACAATATTATTGGCCTCCGAATGAGTTAATTTTTATCTCAGTAGGACTAAAACTTTGAGAGATATGACTTTTTTCGTAAACGCGTAGAGAATATCTCAAGAAAAAAACAAAATGGCTGCCAAATAGAGGGGGAGGGGATTAGACCTCAGTGTGTAGTGTATTTTTATGTTAAAATAGCTGTATTATAAGTACCTAAAATATCGCTAGTCCGTGACCGGACACACTGTATAGTGTAATGATCTGTACTGAAACTTGTATTACTTCAGTTCTTATGACTTGAAACTTATTTCTTAACAGTCATTTTGGTCCATTTCTGGATACAGTCTTTTTCTATAATGCTCCGATTTGTTCAACTTTCATGACACCTAATTATTATGTTAAATAACATAACATAAGATCAAAGCATAACATTCATCTGTATTAACCGTGTAGTGGCGGTGTAAGAATATCGACTACCCCATATCATCCCGTGCGAATCGTAAGATTTGACAGAGGAAACGAATCGGAAGATGGGCAGCGGCGTCTTTCTAATAAACTAAAATAAAAAAAACCGTGGTTGCCAACCCACTTGCCAAGCGTGGCAACTATGGCAAATATTTCTCCAGTGAGGCAACCTATGGCGGAGGCGTACGTCCAGCGGTGGACTTTAATAGGCTGTAAGTGTAAGCATTCATCTCGATTCTCACTTTTTATAACAGAAATATATCCTTTTATATTATGAAATTAAATTGTAATATATATTTAACACATTTAAAACCCAACACATAAGAAACTTATATCTAGTTACTTCTTGCATTGACTTTATATATCAATCTATGTTTACTTATTCCAATAATTTAAGGAATTATAGACATACATACCTATATATACGGCACTATTACTTGCCTTCTAACTATTGAAAAATAAAACAGTTATTTTACGTGCCTGGTGAGTAAAACTGAAAATAATGTGCTTGCCACAGGCGCGGAAAGTTTTACGAAGTTGTTCATATCCTCAAGTTTATATTCGGAGCTCCTGAGTATACTTGAATATGGCTCTTATAAAATCACATACATGTTTCCGTTTAGTCTAATCATTAGATATAGATTTATATTTCATTTATCATCAACCGTCTTTACACCTTATTATAATATCAATGCCGAAGCAACACGACACGGTTGTAAGGCAAATGTATCATTTGATTTTTTTTTTCATTCTTACTGGGACATCTCCTTAATTAGAGAAAACAATCCTACACTCTGCGTACTGGGGGTTGCTGCGTACACAGTGACTACATAAATGTCTCGTTTTGCTCAATTTGGCATATAAAACTTAAAAGAAAAATAACAGTTTACATACTACCACTGTTGAATACGGACCTCTTCTAATTTCTGAAAGGTACTTTGAGCAAAAAAATTGTATGCTGCGCTGCCTCAATGTAATTTAGTGGACTTCATTCATTTTTCGAAACATTTTTAAATTTTTCAGGCATTCCAGTTCCCCTGCGATATTTTTCCTCGCCATCAAACCTTTGGTAAACAATAATTCATTTAATGATGACCACGCGATTAGAGTTTCCAATATTCGTGACAACGACTGTGCGATATTATAAAGATGTTTAACTTGTCCAGTGCGGGCAAGTTAAACATCTTTATAATATCTTTAAAATATTTACTGCATTCGTTACCTAATTCCAGTGTGTTTAATGATTATAAGTAAAAAATAAGCGATTTATAATCGTCTTAATTATTTGTTGATGTTGCTTTTATTAAAAATTTTATGAGTGTGCACACAAAGGTTTTTAAAACTATTTTATTTTCCTCCATTTTGTTAAACTGTATTCCTAACACAACATTTTGAATTTGACGTCAACCCGTGTATCCTATTTTGTCATAAACACCCCCTAGACATTCTTGCGATTGATTTGATTTATGAACTAACATGACCTACGACTAACACAGGCTAAGCACGTTTGACAACTTCCACTACCATTCTTGTTACTAGTAAGCTGTGCTTGTAAGTGTATTTGAATAGTATAAAAGAAGATATTCGGTTGTAAAGTCACCATTCATAATTTGCCGGCTCATAAAAGAACATTCAAATCCAAAAATGTTTCGCAGTGTAAGTTTAATAAAATTATTTAAATTACGAGTATTTTTTCTCAGTTTTTGTTTTGTTGCTTTATATATCTTTTGTTTTTAGGTTGCTATTTTGTGTGCTGTAGCTGCAGTCTCCAATGCTGGACTTCTGCCTGCAGCTGTGCACTACTCCCCTGCTGAAGCTGTCTCCTCTCAAAGTATTGTGCGCCATGACCAACCACACACAGTTGCCACGAAATTGGTAGCCACCGCACCTGTGGCCAAATTGGCAGTCGCCGCTCCAACATCTTACTACAACGCTGTCCCCGCCTCTTATTACAACGCTGCCCCTGCCACTTATTACAACGCTGCCCCAGCTGCCGTAACTTATCACGCCGCACCAGTGCGCGCAACTTACCACTCCGTCCCATCTGCCGTCACATACCATGCTGCGTCCGCCCCTGTTTCATACCACACCAGCCCTGTCCAATACGCTGCGCCTGTTGCTAAAGTTCACACCCACCGTGAAGAGGAAAATGTAAGTTTACATATTTAATCAAAAATATTCGCTGGAGTTTCCTTACAACATGAGAATGAGAAACGAATGATAATTTGCTGTTTTTATTTATACGTTGTTGCAAGCAAATTGACACAAAAATACCACAGATGCACCGTCCTACCTGAAGGGCCATTCTTTTACAAATAATTATTCTTGGACACAACAATGAATACTTTCCTAGTTTTAAGGCAGAAATGGGTAACATTGGTATTATCAGTTGAACTCTCAGACTCTAGCACACAGCATACGTACGTTACATCTTTTATAAAAAATCAATTATTTTTCTGTGCAGGCCTACCCAAAATACGATTTCTCATACTCTGTCGCTGACGGTCACACCGGTGACAACAAGTCCCAACAAGAGTCCCGAGACGGTGATATAGTGAAGGGATCGTACTCGTTCCACGAGGCTGACGGCTCCATCAGGACTGTGGAATACTCCGCCGATGATCACAATGGCTTCAACGCGGTGGTGCACAACTCTGCCCCCACCGCTGCTCCAGCTGTCATCAAGACTCCCGTCTATGCCGCTCCCGCTCCAGCTCACTATTACGAACATTAAACGGAACTGACTAACTATGTTAATGCAAATATAATTTATTTGTTGAATATTTTAATACAAGAATTATTTATTACATCTGTAAATTTCATTTTTTCTGCATTTTTACACTTATTATTCATATTTAGTACTTTGGACAAAACAATTAGTTAATTAATTATTTAACTATAAAATTTATGTCTTTCACACCGAGCAGTAATAAGGAAAACGAATGCCAAAGAACTGCCTGGCTCTTTGCAAAAATAACAATAATTGAGTTTAAGATTAAGTTTGTTTTAAATAATAATAAATAAATAATTAACTATTTTAATGAACTTTTTATTTCCATATATTTTTCATCGCTTACGGCCGTCAAAAGAAAACCTATTCCTGACCGTATTTCTCAAGCGGACGTGTCAAAAATAAATTAAAATTATTGTGCTTCCAATAAATTATCCTAAGTAACAGAGGATGTTGTGTACATCATTAACATTAACGGAAATACGTCAGTAAAGTTAAGAGGTATAAATGTTAATAATATTTTTAATTATAATATTTATTCAAGGAGTTATTAGAAATTAAATATTAAATTCGATTCATTAAAATTAAATATTTAATTGCTAAGCCGGACGTAAAAATGTATTGCTAATATTTAAATAGCAACGGAAATACGTTTGGTCTTCTCTAAAAAAGCTTGTGAAATATCCGCTGTAACTTAAACTAAGGATACGTATGTTCAACCAAAATGTATATTATTCAATATTAAAAACGTAAGCCATTATTGTTCACTACAACTGATTATTGTTTAATTCGAAATGGATGATACTGGATAACTCCTTTATGTCAGTTGAAGTGTACATATATATTAGTATAAAATGTTTTTCACTGAGTGACTTACACATACTTATATTTTTAAACTCTGATATAAATAGGAAACACACACTCTCAATTCTTACGTCGAATATACGATGCATTAACTATGACTTGAAAATTAACAGTTCACTCCAATTGATTATTTTATACTGTTAATTTAAAAAAAATTGATTTACAATTCAATAAATCTTTAAGTAAATTCCAAATAATTAGATATGGCCGCTGCCTCATAGGGGTTGCTTTTCGTATTTACTGCACACAATTTAATTATTGATTGGTCTTGATTACTAATATAATTAAAATTTGATAGCACAAGTGATTTTAGAGATGACCATGACTAATTTTCAATATCAAACTTATAACTACTTTACGATCTTGATAATTTGTCTAAGTTAATATCTAATCATAACTGTAACTTTAAAATAATGCGTCAAAATATTACTCGCAACGTGGATGAAGTTAAGGTTCCAATACTTAGGACAGCTTTGTAATGAGACTAAATGCTTACACAATGTTGGTGTCAGTCCACCCATTATATTCCGATAAATGGATGGCTATAACTATTGTTAAACTCTTAATAATGCAATCCAAAATGTTTTTTATACATAGTAAATGTAATGTAATTTTATGCATAGTAAAGACTCCTAATCCTCATATTCTATATTCTAGAATTTATAGATATCTTTGTTCTGGTTTGTTATTCTTTTATTTCTGTTCTGTTTGTTCTGAATTTGATTTATGTCCGGTTATTCTCTGGTTCACAAAACCACCCATGAAACACTTTGCGAAACATTCAAGCCGTAACACATACATATGACTAAATACATACACATATACAGTACAAACATATTAATTAAAAAAATCTACGCATGAACATAAGGTTTACTCAGATTATGACTGGTAGCTAGACAAACACCGTGAAGTGGAGGTATAAGTAAGTAAGGTATCCACTACCCCATGTCGTTCCGTGGGTGTCGTAAGAGGCGACAGAAAAAAAAACACCAAGAGATGGACAGCAGCGTGTTCTCCGTAACAATAGCAAATAATAAAAACGGTTGTCAACCCCTTTGCCAAGCGCGACCACCATGATATTATGGTAAATATTCCTATTACTATGAGGCAATCTACGGGGGAAGCCTATGTTAAGCAATGGGCTTTTGCTAGGATGTAACGGTGACGGTTAAACGAACACACACCCAGATGTCTGGTTTAAGAATTTTATTATGTTATCATTAAAGACCATTAGGCTATTCGAAAGGTGGGGAAGTGGATGTTAAAAAAATTCCTAGAAGTCGTTATTTGGAGAGTGAATAGTACTTTAGCCGGCATTTTGAAATTAACCCCGGGCGAGGTCGTTAAGCTGGTTTTGAGCATACGCCCAATCGTTGAAGGTGACCGACAAGTATATAATCGGTGTACTATTGCTGTAATGTATCATTCCTCTGAGAATCAATATAGGAAACATGTTGTCAAAAGTAAGTTCCTTTTATTTAAAAAAAAGATATTTAAACGCTTTCGTTTAAATTTCTTTTTTTGTTTTTGCTCTGGATTGCAACGTTTTCTAATATATTATATTTTGTATATTATTACTGTAACTTTCTACTATACTATATGTTAAAATATGTAATGAAATTCCTTTAAATATATTAGATTGATCGTACACTTAAACAATTAAAATAATTTTTTTTAAATACTTTTTCAGTTATAGTAAACTTGTATTCAGTTAGTCTAAGGTAGAAACTAATTAATGAGTGAGTGACGGATCAGAGCAATCAGCGATCTTAGAACTGATTGGTAAAATTCGGCAGGGCGTGCAGAATGGCTGGGCAGCGCGTTTCCCACACTTGTTTCTAGGTGATAAGATTTTTTTTGCCTATGCGTCTGTCGGGGAAGGTATCACTTTCTTACCAACTTATTAAAGCCCACTCAATACACTGCTGTGTTCTGGTCTAAAGAATAAAGGAAGTTTGTAAAAGATCGGATTGTGAAGCATTTTATCTTAATCTTCAAAGGTAACAACGCATCGGCAGCCTTCTTTATTAGGAGGCTGCAAGTGTTCATGGAACGCAGTGGTCAATTGCCATCAGGTGGTCTGCAAGTTCGCTTCTTACTTCAATTTCATTTAAAAAGTAACTCGAGCGGCCACCACTCATACTGCAACACAATAGCGTGTCTTTCATGACATGTTTTACGTTGTCATTAGTGACGACTAAGATGGAATAATTGTACTTGTCTTTACCCTTTGTGTTGTTTGAAATAGGTAAGAGTATGATACATTGCCAATCAGCCTTTTAACAACAAAAATAGTCCTACCATATAGAACCATGTGTAGGAAACGCCCTGTCACGCCGCACGCTTCGCCGAATTTTGTCACTCAGACTTCAGACTGTTGCGTGTGTTTGTCATACACGCCGATCGCTGCTTGGCCGCAGATATAGATAGATAGATAAAAGGGTAATATCTACCCTGAAAGACTTCAAAGTTACCAAGTTTTAACCCTAAACAAATGATCTGAGTGAAAAATATTCTAGCATGTGACATCGCGTTACATTCGGCATACATTCTGAAAAACCACCACACAAAATTCTAGATGCTGTAATACAAGTGCGTGTGTTGTTACACAAGATCCGCTGCACCCTCCACTTCCATATATCTGTAGCAAGCTTATATGTATATATATAGACATACATGTCGTTAACACGTGAATGCCATTAGTACCGAAATTCCTTCTTGTACTTTGTATAGGTTGTTTAACGACAGTTAAACTTAGTATATAACGGTGTCAGTGGATATATTGAAAAATTGTCTACAATACCAATATCAGAATTATTCTTTTACCATGTAACATTTATTGTTAATTAAATATTAAAATAAATTATAACGTTACAGATTGTAACCTTGTGCGCTGTAGTGGCGATGTCCCAAGCCGGGCTTCTGCCAGCGGCTGTTCGCTACTCGCCCGCTGAGGCCGTCTCGTCACAAAGTATCGTGCGCCATGATCAACCTCATGCGGTTGCAACAAAGTTTGTCGCTGCCGCTCCAGTGGCCAAGTTCGCTGTAGCTGCACCTGTGGCGTACCAAGCTGCACCTGCTGCCGTTTCTTACCACGCCGCTCCTGCTCGCGTCGCTTACAACGTCGCACCCGCCGCAGTTACCTACCACACTGCACAAGCGCCGGCATCCTACCATGCCACTCCAATTCAATATGCTGCACCTGTCACAAAAGTTCTGTCCCACCGTGAGGAAGAAATTGTAAGTTATTGCTTTTCATGAAATTATTATTACTTTTCTTTAAACATATTTTTTAACTATTATAAGCCAGCATTTGACTACTATCATCCCTGGTTTCAAATGGTGACATTCTCTTGAAATAAGAGCTGACGGCGCAAGTACTGAGTGGAGCGCCAGTCGTCACCCCGCTGGCACTCCACTGGCACTGGGGATAGTGGTATACCATAACCTGCTCTGTCGAAATAAATAGGACACTCTTTTAACATAATAATACCTTTATTTTAGTGTTGTAACCGAGTGAATGAAGAAAAAATATAATCAAGTTTAATGTAATCCGCTGTTTTGCATAATATAATCATAACATATAAAAGTAATGGTGATGTAGCCGATGGTGGTAAACCGTTCTAAAGACTCTCTTGAAGTATAAGGTGAAAGACATGAAAACATTATCCCGCAATTTTTCAGTAAATCAGTAATAAAGCGGATGGAATTCAGAAAGATGTCTCGGTGTGGTCTCGTGCTTTAATTTTGTTTATGTTTTCATGAGATTACCCAACAATAATAAAACTTTTAATTCGTTATAAGTATTTCACGGTTTCATTTTAGAATCTGTAAAAGGTACACTTATAAAAAGAAAATTATTGCTATCTTTATTTTTTAGCGATTTTGTCTCCACACAGCACTTTTTCGACGAGAAAAGGCTATGTGAAGACAAAAAAAACCATAAATTAAAAAAAATGCCTAATAATAAAGCCAAACAAGTAGTCTTACAGAATTTAAAAATAGGTACTATAATGTCGCCTTACTACATTTATTAATTATGTAATCATTTTTTTTTCTTTCCAGGCGTACCCAAAATACGATTTCTCATACTCTGTCGCTGACGGTCACACTGGTGACAACAAGTCCCAGCAAGAGTCCCGTGACGGTGATGTAGTGAAGGGATCGTACTCGTTCCACGAAGCCGACGGCTCCATCAGGACTGTAGAATACTCCGCCGATGATCACAATGGCTTCAACGCGGTGGTGCACAACTCTGCCCCCACCGCTGCTCCAGCTGTCATCAAGACTCCCGTCTATGCTGCTCCTGCTCCCGCCCTCTATTACAAACATTAACCAAAACTGACAACTGACGTAATACAAAATAGTTAATTAGTTATTTATTTCAATATACAAATATTTAATAATTACTTCTGAAATTTTTATTTCCTAACTTGTTATATGGCCGAATGTGATTCTCAGATTGCGAGAAACAGGTACAGAAATTTTTATATGATTAATCATAATAGTTATATACAGTAAATATTAAAGAATAATACGTTTGATATCAACAAAATTATTGGAAAAAAATAATAAGTATACTACATTCACATAGCCGAGCAATCAAGATAAAATGACAAAAGCTATATTTCGAAATGAGTAAGTCGGGTGGTATGATCATACGGTCTTCACTGCTGGTCGTATAAGGACGCTCAAGGTCGCTCAGCGAGCTATGGAGAGGGCTATGCTCAGAGTTTCACTGCATTATAGACTCAGAAATGAGGATATCCGCAGTAAAACCGGAGTGACCGATATAGCCCAACGGATTAGTAAGCTGAAGTGGCAATGGGCCGGCCATATACCTCGAAGAACCGATAACCGATGGAGAAGAAAGGTTCTCGAGTGGCAGCCTCGTACCGGTAGGCGTAGTGTAGGGCGACCCCCCACTAGATGGAGTGACGACCTGGTAAGACATGCAGGAAGTCGATGGATGCAGGTGGCTCAGGACCGTGCTTTGTGGCATTACTTGGGGGAGGCCTATGTTCAGCAGTGGACTTGTGAAGGGCTGTAATGATGATGATGATGATGATGATGACCTCTACTTATAGTGTCAAATGCGCGGAAATAGTCCAAAAGTATTTAAATAGTAGCCTTACCAGAGTCTTGCGCATTTAAGGTTGTTGTACTATGCTGTTTCCTAAAACCGGATTTAACGTTTGGTAGGATGTTATTCCAGTTCTAATGCGTTAGTTGATCACAGACAATTTTTCCAAATTTTAAACATACACGGCAGTATGGCTAAACTTCAAAAATAGTTCGTAATATTCACTTTTTTAGGAATTGTTCTCACGAACGCCATTTGCCATAGAGTGGGAAACCTTTTAGTTGTGAGAGGGATGTTTATAATCTTTGTGATAACACTTAAGGAATACGGGAGACTCGACAGTAGCATTTCCAATGAGATGCCATCCACATCTAGAGCGTTTGATTTTAAATTGTGAAGTATTTTTATAACAGCTTTATTCTCAGTTGGAACAAGGTAAAATATTGCAGAACTAAACTTGTTCTTCTCGTAGTAATTTAGACACATTTGTTCCTCTAACAGTGCTATGGGGTGAGAATGCGAACTGGTAGCCAACGTCTGATATAAATACCCACATCGCCACCTCGTGTACGTATTTCGACCGACCTGGAAATATATCGTAACTGGTAGCTAGACAAATGAGATGCCCGGCCTTCTTCTCCTTCCCGAAGCCACGTTTCACTTAACGAAATAATGTCCACCCTATGACTGTCCATTGCCACCACAAACTCATCATGACGTGTTTCGAGTGAGCCGGCGTTTATAAAACCAACCTTTAAGTTCTTACTCTAGCCATTGTAACATAATGTTATTAAAATTATTCTCAGTATATAACAGTTAATAATAAAGTGTAATAATTAAAGATAGCTAATGTAGGTAAAGGTTCATAGACAGGAATCCACAGAAAATTACTTATACATATTAGTTCTGAGGAAATAATATAAGTAGTGCCCAGAGTAGGGCGGATGTAATGTGTAAACAAAGCCAAATGGGATGGGTTTATATTATATAAATGAATGTAAAATTTTGCAAAATACATACATTCAAAATATTGACGAGTCACTACAATTGTCACATTGTGTAAAATTATAACAACTATATAACAAGAAAAATAACAGACATTTATGTTAACGTTAAGACAACAAAATATATTAGGAAGTATCGTGGAACGTAATTCACGGCATGCATTAAATCGTGAGATAAGACAAAAATCATGTTAAACATAAACTCCCATAAAAATATTAAAGAAAAATTATAAAAATATATAAGTTATATAAAGAGAAGTAAAATATTACTAACAAACTTACGCGGTAATTTATAATGTGGACACAACGTATAACAGTTAAAAATCCTACAATCCTTGAGGCTAAGAAAGACTTAAATGTTCTATTATTATAAAAAAGAATAAGATAGAAACAAAATCTAAGTATATTAAACATCAAATTTAAGAAACTTAAAAAACCTTTACAATATTACTGTCCATATGAATTCGTCGTTTACTCGACATCGAATCATACCTTACAAATATATTGTCTTTTTTTGTCCATAAATAACACCAGTGGTTATGCCGTGCTTCCTGTCTAACTTTAAAGAAAAGTTGCTTGTTAGTGTGCGTCAGGCGTTCATTTAAATAAAAGTGTACTGTTTCAGCATTAACGTTGAACCCCGATGTATCGGCTCCCCGCCGCACACGTGCCGCGCGTAACAGTTGGTCGCGAATAGAAAGTCGCGCTAGGCGAATGATAGGTCTAGGAAGCGGCGGTACTCTCTCAATCATGACGCATACCAGATCTCTCTACAAAAACCACATCGCATACACCCGAATCAACTCCTAATTTTTACGCGACGAGAGTAAGGAGATGCATCGGGTTTCTCCTTTTTGATTTGGCAGGCCTGTGAGCTCCAGGTCTGGTGATCTTTGTAATTTAGATTACGCTTTAGTTGTTCAATAGTTTCAACCAACTGACTCACAGGTGCCTCTTTGAACGTGCATCAGATTGTGGTATTCGGCGTGCATGACAAACACACAATCTTTTATTGTCCTGTTTGGCAGCCATTTTAGTTCTATGTAGCATGCACAAACGTCCAGTAGAATGTTGCCTTTTATTTACAGACCAAGATTCATTATCTATAGTAAGGTTGATGATACATGGTTAACACATTATAGCTGTATTATATGGGAGGGCCCTGTTCCCTAAAACCAGGGTAAAAAAAATTGTTCGGCATTTATGAAAGCCTTGCTCATTTCTTAGCAGGATATGGTGTGTGTAATAGGGATTGGTATTCGCAGAATAAGTCACTACGTTCTATTACACCCACCCCTATCTTTGTTTACGTACATACAATGATAAATCACACACGGTCTGGTTTACATATCTTATAAATATGCAAAATTAACTAAACAATAAAGTTTTTACCACCGCTTCTCTTTTTTTTTAATTCTCTCTGGAAGGTTTTTGTTTCAGAGAATTATCCAACTACGAGCATTGTAATGTATTATGGGCACAGCAAGTACGTAATAACAAACGCCAATTTGAAAAATTGCCTAGCACTCGATATTTATGAAGTTTTAATTATTGTGGTAAAATGAAGCGGACGACGCAACGACACGTTAGAGTTTAGTGGAAATTTTACAATAACGAAAAGAATAAATAAAATATACGTTGAACTTGAACTTTATTGAACTATATAACAATTATTTTTAGTAGGATAATGAACATACAAAGAAATATACAATATCAATTTTGACTATAACACCCTCAACGTAACTATTAATTGGTTGTTATTAATGTAGATTTGCTTTACTTTTATAATATTGCAAAATGCATAAAAGTATATAAATTTAAACTTACATTCATATCGAAAGCCAATGATGGCGAAACGGTTATTTTTGGAACAATATAATAACGATAGCTAGCCACCTACCCATTGAAATGAAACGAGTCAGCGTCCGATAAGATCAAAATTAATCCACTGTCTTTTATAAATTTTTCTATAACTCAAGAGGAACTTACACCAAATAGGTAACTATAACATTTAAAGCTTTAGATATTTCTGCTGCACAACTAAAATTACGAAAGTTGTGAGGATACTTATATGTCTGTGAAATTTGAAGTCCGACAACATACAAAGGAGTAGCGCGATGAGATCTTCCCCAATCCAAAACCCTCAACAAAATTGGGGGAGGACTAACCTCAATTAATTAATTTTAATCAAAATAATATGTTATAATTATTAATACAGCAAAAACTACTTACAGGCTATGTAACAAAATTATATCTATTTATTTGCAATCAAAAAAAATTACTCATAATATAAATTGACAAAATAATATTTTTTAACTAAACTTAATGTAAATTTTACCCCGGCAATAGAATATAATAACGACGAAGATAATAACATTCATCGCCCAACACAAGGCGACCAGAACAAAATTACCACTCGGGAACATTTTTTCTCCATCAGTACTTCCTTCAAGCTATGTAGCCGGCCTACTGCGATTTCAGCTCACTAATTCGTCGTGTTTTGTCAGTTACCCTAGTTCTCCAATGCGTTTTCTCGTAACAGACTATATCACACAATGGAACCCCGAACATAAACTTTTTTAGAGCTTGCTTAACGAATTTGACTAGAATAGTTCTTATAAGTTATCAAGTGATAAATTATGGATCTGAGACATGGTCCATCACCGCTGGCTGCATCAGGAAGCTCAAAGTCGCTCAACGAGCTACTTCAGCACGTCAAGCAAGTTCTGCACCACAACAAGCTACGGGTCCCGCGCCTACGTCACAGTGACCGAGTGAAGCCGGCCACAGTCGAGCGTGTGCCTGCTGTACTACCATATGTCAGAGGTGTCACAGACAAGATTGGCTATATCTTGAAGCGAGCTTCTATTAGAACATTCTACAAGCCGCCGAAGAAGATTAGTCAGTTCCTACCATCCGTCAAGTGTCGTATTCCTCTACAAGATGCAGGAGTGTACAAGCTTGATTGTGAATGTGGTCTCTCTTATATAGGACAAACAAAAAGATCAATTAGGACCCGCGTAAAAGAACATATAGCTGATGTGAAGCATCAACGTTCCGGGAAGTCTGCAGTATGTGATCATATCCTAGACGGACCCAACCATTACATCAGATTTGATAGACCACAAATCCTCGCGAAAGAACACCGATTCCTACCAAGGATGATACGTGAGGCTATTGAAATTAAAAAACATCCTAATTTCAATAGAGAAGGAGGCTGGGTACTACCACCTGCTTGGGATCCTATA